GGTTTGACATTGTTAAAATTTTGTGGGCCCTAGTTGCCTTTATTAAAGAATTTATTTATTTATCAATAAACTAATGTCGCTAATGAGAAATTGCAAATTGTATGGGTCAGGCATAAGTTTATGCTCATATATCACGTAGGCATTTTATAGTTTATTAAATCTCATACATTTTGTATTTTCCCATTAACGCCACTGCTCTTACATGGTACTTGTCAACAGGCCCCGATTTGAAATCGAATCAGTGATTCGATTCGTAATACGGCGATGGCAAGTAAACATTTGGCTAAATAAAGTATACATCCGATTTCATTGATATAAAAACATGTATTGGATTACTGAATTCAATAAAGAATGTTTGTTTTTTAAACATTTTCTCCTAAAAGAAAATTATTTACTGTACTCAATCGACGAGCTGATTAATGGTGGAAAAAGTTACAACAGGGTTTAGATGCAAATGAATTTTGAAGAGATAAAGGTGTTGCGGATTTTTTTTAAATCTTGTCTCATCTGGATTTGGTAACAAGGATGAATAAACTTAGAGGAATTAAATTCAATAATCTGATAAATTTTCTAGATACTGCAAAATTAGGAGCGTTGACCATACACAGCGGAGAAAAAAAAATATTAAATCTTCTATGGGATTTTACTAATCACTTTCCAACTGACGGAGTTATAAGGTAAAAAAATAAAAAAAAAACAAAACCGAATTCAGAACCTCCTTCTATTTAAAGTTGGTTAAAAACAAAATACAGTGCTGACAAATCAAAGCAGCGACAGCATCAAATACGTAGTTAAATTGTTTGTCCATCAAACAATATAATTTTACTTATTAAATCCATCCTAAAATATTGACGCTATTCGAGAACAAAGTGGTAGATTGGAATTAGAAACATATCAAGTTTTATAAAGTCAGTTTGTCAATGCAATTTAAGAAGTGTGGCATATAGTCGATCGCACATCCAGGTTGCGACGACAAAGTTACGCTCTGAATAATAATAGTACTGAGACGACCAATTCAGATAAGTTACACAATATACATATAGTTATATCAATAATCAAAGTACTGAAAGCTAGAATATTTGGTAACTAGTCAACAAATAATAATTCTGATGATAACTTACAATTTACTAAAGGGAGACGGTACAAAAGTCATTTGCTTGGGCAACTCTGTCTCATTCGTGTTTTTACCGTGAAGCAATTGTGTTTGCACGGCTGTATTTCGGTTTGAAAGACGGGATATGGCAGTGAATTTACATGGTACAGTGGAATAACACCTGAGTCCTCAGGAATGGCAACGCATGGGGGTTATCATGGGTGAAACAGTATACTCTGTTATGTCCATGGTACTGCTCATGTCTATAGGCGACGGTTGCCACTTTCCATCAGGTGGGCCGTCAGCTTGTTTTCCAATCTAAGTTGTATAAAAAAAAAAACTTGCACACACATAGAAAACACCCAGACTAATATAAACTATCGAGTCATATCTATGTTAGTGCGTGCAGTACAATAAGAAAATTGTTTTTTAAATATTTTACTGAACTAGGTACTGTCTTGTGGATGTCCATATCACTGGTTATTGGATTACAATATTTTTGTTTAATTCCGCTACTATTATTATGTGTGTTCAATCTTTGAGTGTTGGTAGTAATACACATACTAATGGAAGCGGAATTAAACAAAATAATTCTAATTATAAAACTAATAACTTACGAATACTCAACACAAGAGAAATCTTTAAACATATTTGTTTTATCACAACTGAAAAAAAACGATTATTACAGCTGCGGAATAAAATGGGGACTTGAAAAAAAGCCATTTAATAAGAGGTGCGTCCTGTGTGGTGGCCATCGAACTATCTACCTCGTAATGTATGGTCTGCCTTCAAACCACAGAGTAATAAAGTGAAACATTGAAAATAAAATACTTTGCTTTTATGAAAGCAAAGTATTTTATTTCCAATGTTTCACCATTAGCGTATAAGGTCGTGAGCGGCATTGGTGTGCACTTCTAAAGTGGGCATAATCACAGGGCCTACCATGAAATATTTTCCGAAATTTCGGGGTCAAACGAAACACAATTTTGATGTTAAAATTATGTAATTTTCACACACACATTTTGTACACACTGTTTAAACATATTAAATATGTTAAAATATGGTCCCTTTGGACTTTTATGATACGATTTATGACGAACAAAAAGTTAAGCTCAATTTACTGGGCTGATTTCGGTATGAAGAAAAACTCGAAATCGAGTCAGTATATACCAAATTTCATTCCTTGGCGACCCCCAGTATGTAATGTGCGGATCGTTTGTTAGAGTCCTAAGAATTTTTGGTTTTTTGATTAGTCTATTAAAAAAAACTTTCGACATATTTTGACAAATCATTACAGTTATGTTTAGCTAGATTATGGTTTAACAAGCAGGTACATCTCCGAGTGGAGCAGTAAATTCAAGATATTTCTCTAACTGCGCAAATAATTGGAAACACAACTTTTGATAGGCGTTATGAAATCAAATAATCAAGAAAATGTCAGTTACGGCGTGACAGCGGCTGTTGTGGAAACCTTAAATTCTATAATGAAACTGAGAATTAATATTCGATTCGCGTCATACAATATTCCGATTACGCTCGGTATTTCATTTTATCCAATCGCTATAAAGCCATTCGTTTCGGTTCCAACACTAACGACTAGTTAATCAAGTATGTGCCATTTGAGTATTTTGCAATTAAAATTGATAATACAGTACTGCTATACGTTGAAAGTCAATTTTATAAAATTACTACCTGTTTCCACAAATTAACTCGCCGCGATTGAATGGAGAATTTTGGGATATCTTTTCTCTATTATTGCTACTCAATGACGCATTAAATTACACTACAAATAAAATACGATGGACATCTTAAATTATAAAATGATAAAAAATGCCCATTTATATTAATAGTAACGTTATAATAACTGAATTAAACACTGATATGTGTTTATTTCATAAAATTTTTGTGTAATATTCGGCAAGTGGCGATATGTCAATACGGATATGTTTACAGGCGCAATGCGCAAGTCTGCAGCGTAGGCACCGACTGCCCGTGTACCGGAGCACCGGCGTTGGCCGACGGCCAGGCTATCAGCTGATTTGGTCAAGGAATGCATTATTAAAACTTAAACCATAATGGTCGCTATCTAATATCTGCGCAAGCATTTAGTATTGACTTATTCTATTTTTAGAATGAGATACAATTTAATGTTGAAGATGGGCTTTATAATTAAAAAAAAAAAAAAATACGACGTTAACGTAATTTCATTGGATGACGTAATTAAATTAATTGCGACGTTAATAAAAGCCACAGATTAGAAAAATTAAAAGTAGAGAAATGATAATACGATAGTTAACAAAACAATGCGTAGGACAATATCTATTCTATTGAAACTATTTAAAATATATCGCTTTTAAGCAAAGTTTTGTGTTCCAAATTTTGCTAGTTTAGCAGTCCAAACTACAGTTACTCTAGAAAGCAAGCATTTTCCCCCCAAGAATATAGAGTACCTATCTACTATATACTTGGGGAAAGATGCAGTTTTTTTATATAAGAACTAAGGATTACGATCCATTCAGTATGTAGTAATCTGTTAAAGTTACATCTTACTGTACTTATACAATTACATCATTATATTTATTGTCTTGCTTAATCCCTATATTGTATAATGCAAATAAAATATAATAATTCATTTAACAAACAATAATTAGCTATGGTTAATAGACCTTTGAAATATTAGAAGTGTCATGCCAACCGAAAAACTTTTTAAGGGCTCTCTGGTGCAATGTTTTGGGAAATCCTAGCTATACACATACTGCAATCTGAACGTTGGAAGGAGCACTGTAATATCTATTCTATACAAGTCTATGTCTGTAAACTTATCTAATAATAGTTTACTATATGTACACACTGTCGTTTGATGCGTAAGTTTAATTAGTTTACCAGCGTGATACGAGTGTGTCATATCACTGAGTGAGTGATTAGCATTATGACAAACATCATAGGTGATTATTAACATTCGTTTAGGGTATTACTTGCATCTTTAGAGACATAAAACTTCTCCTTTTGTATCAGTGTAAACTTGACGAGGTCCATAAAAGTAGTTCAGTAACATCGCATTTTCAAAGCTTCTGAGTTACTATAAAGTATAATAGGAATTTAATGAACTTACTGTATTTGCATACTTGTTTCGTTCTGGTACGTAATTCTATTGAAAAATAAATATGCAGACTGGTATAATCTCTAAAAGGGTAATTAGACGTATTGCTTTATTTTTATTACTCATTCTTTATTGAGAACTACTTTTTTTATGTAACTTAGAATGACAATCAAGCTGACGCCTCACCTGATGTTAAGTGGTAACCGTCGCCTATAAATATTAGCAGTATCATGGACATAACAGAGTATACTGTTTCGCTCATGATACCCCCCCCCCCCCCCCCCCCCCATGGGTTGCCATTCCTGAGGACTCAGGTGTTATTCCTCTGTGCGTTTAAGCATTGTGGTTATTTGTTAAAGTTAAAATAATTTTAATAAAATGATTTATATTTAATTTTGTCTATTTACATTCATACATGATTACTACGTACTTACTACTATTTTTCGTAATATGTCCTTTACGGAAACTTAATAGATTAAATCCTCTTTAGAAGTCATTATTACGATGTTTGTTTGATCCATTTCAACCCGTCTTAAAAATAACCAGTAAAGTTAATATAAAAATAATATTTACTACAGTGACGTCTTCGTAATAACAAATAATAATTGCATTGAACACTTCTAGAATATTCCTATCCTATGGATTATGTACGAGTGTTATTGCGGCTCAGTTTTCCTGCAACTGTCTCTATTGGTCTGCAGTATCAAGCTGTCCGTTTGTCTCACAAAGACAAAAGCATTATTGCATATTGCTATCCTAACTACAAGCGGACACACGACGTTATCCACACAACAAACCGCACAGTACCTCTTTGTTTGCCTCCTTATCAAAAATAGTAATGAAAATTTCTAACAAACTAAGCCGGGAACTAAGCGAACGCTGTGAAAGTATGCAGAAAATCGCGAAATTGGTTACGTCACTATACGATATTTATTTAAAAGCTCTTTAATATCACTGAACACATCACTGACTCGATTTATCACTTCCTTGTGTTGGAAAATCACAAATTTTACGATCCATCAATGACACGAGATATATCTCAACGCAATTAACCACTCGTGTTAAGAACGCGAAATTATTTTATTACACACCACCGTATTTCCTTGCACTAGGAAGGAAATGGTGGTTTATTTTCTTTTTTTTTTTTTGTGTAATTTATGACTCCGTTTGGGAACGCGTCCGGGCCACGCCGGCGAGGCGACTGGAAGGATCGACCGTGCCAACCCTAGGGGAGGCTGCGTATTTGCGCGACTCACTGAAAGAACTTCCAACTTTATACATGCGCCAATAAAGTTGCTTTTCAAATGCGACGACTTTATTCGTCAAACCATTGAAGGTTGGTTCAAAAACGTGACAAGCGATATCTGCCAGTTTTATAATGGACTTTATTGAACGGCAACAGCGTTGATTTTTATTAGGCGTCGTAGTAGAAAGAAAACTAGGGATGAGGCGCGGTCGCAGTGAACTTGAATGGGGGGTATAAACCATTATACGGGGCGTTGTTTCATATCACGCGTTTCCACCAAATTCATTTTGTTAGCATTGCTAATATAAGCATTACTGCTTCTAGTACTCCGCTGGGCAATGAAGGGCAGTGTCATGTGTGGAATGCCTCCAGTGGGTCAGTTGCTAATTGGTCCGGTATAAATTCGAGCCGTTTTAGTCATCTGCATAATGGATTGCGCGTCGTAACGAATTAACTAATTATAAAACTGTTCATATTTTACTATTTAAAAATTTTTGTGTTACAGAAGGACTAGGTATAAATACTTTTATATTTAGTACATTATTATGTTAGCTGTATCTACCATCTGTCTAGACATCTAAACATTGTTGCAAGTTTTTCGACTTGAATCAGTGTCACTTCAGAACTGTCGGCTTTCAACTCAGAGAACGTTTGATTACGGTTGGAGGATTCAACATCGAAATATAGCCTAAACCTTTGAATGTTTCAAATTCCCGTTTGGTTTTTTTTTTAAATAATTGTCAATTGCTGTGTACTTGGAGTCGCGTAAATTGGTCATTCAGTAAATTACGTCTGAGACCTTCGCATACCATGAAGACGGCCTAGAATTTCGTCTAGATCAGAAGACGTTATCTTAAAAGAAATATTGCATTCAGTATATACGAGTATTAGTGGAAGTCTCTAAAAACGTTTATATGTTTATAGTGAATATTTTTTAAAGAAAGGAAGAAACATAGAGAGCACAAGAGAAAGAGGGAGACCGAGATATAAATACATGGGGCAGATAAAGGAAACACTAGGTGTCATGACATCTAAACATTGTCGCAAGTTTTTCGACTTGAATCAGCGTCACTTCAGAACTGTCGGCTTTCAACTCAGAGAACGTTTGATTACGGTTGGAGGATTCAACATCGAAATGTAGCCTAAACCTTTGAATGTTTCAAATTTCCGTTTGGTTTTTTTTTTTTTAAATAATTGTCAATTGCTGTGTACTTGGAGTCGCGTAAATTGGTCATTCAGTAAATTACGTCTGAGACCTTCGCATACCATGAAGACGGCCTAGAATTTCGTCTAGATCAGAAGACGTTATCTTAAAAGAAATATTGCATTCAGTATATACGAGTATTAGTGGAAGTCTCTAAAAACGTTTATATGTTTATAGTGAATATTTTTTAAAGAAAGGAAGAAACATAGAGAGCACAAGAGAAAGAGGGAGACCGAGATATAAATACATGGGGCAGATAAAGGAAACACTAGGTGTCATGTCATATACGGAAGTTAAAGTTATGGCCTGGGATAGAGCTGGCTGGAAGAGAAGTTGCCTCGACAAGAAGAATGTCTTAGAAAAAAAAAAGTAAATATGATGAACATAGAGAACTCTACAATAGTCTGTTGACTAGAATCTGTTGGTATTTAGTAATCGTTAAAGGCAAAATGGACATAATCGCATCAACGGTGAACTTTATCACGTATTAACTAATCAGTGGTCCATTATCCCGATCGTAGGCGGGAGATTGTTAGCTCGGAGCTAATCAATAAACCCAAGGCGGTCTGGTTTAGGTAATCTATTTGCGTTTATAGTATCATTGCCTACGGCTTTGTTAACGGTAACTTTAGGATTCTGTAATCTGTAATTATCACTCAAACTTTTTATGACTATTAAGCTATAGAACCCCGTTTTATTGGTCTTATTCTAGATATGCTTCCGATAGTAAAAAGGCTCATTAAAATCGTAGCAGATGCTTCCGTGTTTTCGCGGAAAATGTTTAAGTGCCGAAGAGTTATACAATTTCTAATTACAGCATAAGACGATCGAGATGGATTTCAATTTTAACTTGTGGAAACAAAGTATATTAAGGTCCTAGTGAGTTATATTTGTCATGAATAAGGAAACGGTGATTAGCAAGGAAAAATATTGTATAATTAATGTACATCTTATTTCATATATATTCATGCAAGACATCTTATATTATTAAATGCCTTCTATAATATTACTGACAAGGGGGAAAGGAATTGTTAGTAATGGAGACTGAGAATCCCATTGCTAGCAATATACCCAATCAGGTCGACCTCCTTTCGGTTCCCCCTGGAAACTATCATGGTTAATTCCTGATGAATTCATCATGATGGGCTAACTGGCCTGTTTTCATTCTCATCTATCATTCATCACTGGTGCCCCGTCAGCGTATCCCGTTACCATACCATATTTACCCATAAAAAAATATATATATATATTACTGACAGATTTTCAATTCACTTGTATACATTTTAACTTATATCGATCGATGTCAAAGATCGATATCAAAAACAATTCTGAATGGATTTTGCTGTTTTGCATACGCATTTAAGATGCAAGATATTTATTGGTGAAATATGTATATAAATAAATGGCGATATTATGAATATAATTTTCTTCGACATGTTTAGCCTATGGGGTATACAAAAAATAAAAGGGTTTTTCTTTTTGTGTAAGCTACACAAATTTTCCAATGTAGACTAGTAATAAATCAATACTGCATATTCGATCCAATGCAAGGAATCTTTTAATTTTATTTTGGCAACGTAAATGTGGCGTGAATTTACAGGGCACAGAGGAATAACACCTGAGCCCTCAGGAATGGCAACGCATGGTGGGTATCATGGGCGAAACTGTATACTCTGTTATGTACATGGTATTGCTCATGTCTATAGGCGACGGTTACCACTTTCCATCAGGTGGGCCGTCATCTTGTTTGCCATTCTAAGTTGTATAAAAAAAAAAAAACCTGGCAGTGAGATGGGACAGAACTAAATATAGACATAACCTTTAATAATTAGGATTGTGTTTCACAAGAGAAACCAACTTTAACTGTGGAATAATTTTTAGGTAATAGTGTACATTAATTGGGTCCAGCCTCTGAACATTTCTTTGGTATCTTTGTAATTTACGTAGTATGAAACTGCATAGTTGATTAATATGTACATTTTGCAAATATTTTTTGTAAATAATTGAAAATTGTGTTCCACAAATAAAAAAAAAAAACGATTACAATCGTGGCAAAATCAATTTCGAAAAATCCAGCTTTATTGATTTAGAAACTACTGAACTGTTTTTGATAAAATTTTTAAGGGACCACTCTGTAAGTATATCCTTTCAGTTAAAAAAATTAAAATCGGTTTAGAATTGATGGAGTTATGTGGTAACAAACATAAAACACACACACACACACACACACGCACGCAAGCACAATCGAATTGAGAACCTGCTTTTTAAAGTCGACTGAAAAAGCAATACACTGTCCATAGATGAGATTACAGCAAAAGAACAGAACACTGGCTAGTCACTAGTTCTAAATACATAGAATGTAGACGTCATACACCACGAATGTATTCCGTACACGTAAATTCGAAGGAAACGGCCAGCGGAGAATATAAATTGGAAGCGAAATATAAATATAATGTAATATGAACGGAAACTGAAAATTGCACAATAACTGTTGCGTTAATATAAGAATTTGTCGTCAATCAATCAATTAATAAATAAGTTAAATAAAATAAAAAGCAATGCAATATATAAAAAAAAAAAAAAAGGATTGGAAGGAAGTGAAGTAATGCAGGTGAGTGGTATGCAAAAGTTGCTGGTATTACAAATAATAAAAAAGTTGATAAATTAAAAATATGCTGCACAAAAGAGAACTTATTCCGTAAACTTTATTAATTACAGATAATAGTAACCAAAAACGATTTAGATTGGCGTAGACGTAAACAAGCTAATTGAGGAACTCCTTTTGAATGGCGTTTAAAAGTAAGGGTCGTCTAAAGGGTCTTAAGATGGAGAAAGACATAGGCTTTTTTTTAGCTCTGTCAAAATAACCCAGTCTACTGTCAACTAAGTCGGAATAAAAGTTAGTAAGTACTAATATAAATCTGGAGAAAGTTCTACAACAAATACCAACTGTTATCAGCTTTAATTCTATTGTATTGATAAAGTGATACCTATCTATGTCGTGTATTCGCTGTTCGTCACTCACGTTGCAAATGTACGTCAGTGGCCACGTGTTATTTACTGGTAATCGATTAAAGAAATTGAACCCCAATCTGTAGAATTGTGGAGTATGTAAATCTAAACAGGGTGGAATCGAAATTGTAAGCAACAAAACTACGGCGGTGTCCAGTTTAAGACAGTATGGGAGGTTCAAAAATTGAGGCTCCAATATTATCTTCTATCGTTATTTTTGAATTTATGTGTTTTTCTCTTAATATATTCTACTAGCTTTTACCCACGACTTCGTCCGCGTGTCCGGTATATGTTCACTGTATACTAATAGTACGAGTATATCAAATTTTACAGTAACCGGTTATCCGTTAAGGCGATGTCAGGTAACAAATAAACAGTCACTGTCATTATAATGTTAGGAAGAATATCATGGGTAGATTCTTAGTTTTGCGTATTGTTAATGACTTCGATTTGGTCTGATATACCGGAATATATAACAAAACTAGAACTAAACGATATTTATACACAAAAGATTTCAAAGAAGAGTTAATATTAGGAGTTTGAATTTTAAAAAAATCAAATTTTTATTTGGTTGTACGTTCGTTCTGGAACCATGCAAAAACTATTGCAACTTATTGGATGCCGTTCTCACTGTTGTTTTATTTTTTATGCAATTTAAGAATGGCAAACAAGCTGACGACCCACCTGATGGAAAGTGGTAACCGTCGCCTATAGACATGAGCAGTACCATGAACATAACAGAGTATAATG